TGATTGGCTGAGCGCTGTGGGCTGGGCTGGGCTGCACGAGCGCTCCCCGGGGCCGGCCCAGCTCAGTAATGCAGCAGCGGCAGCAGCAGCCCCGGCCGACACGCGCACGCGGAGAGCGCTCGTGGCTGCGGGGCGCCCGGCGAGCCTCTGTCTCTGCAAAGCCGGCGCACTAGGGAGCCGCCGCCCGGAGCGCAGGATGAGCACCGGCCTGAGGTACAAGAGCAAGCTGGTCAACCCAGGTGAGCGGGGCTCCGGGGGGCGCGGGGTGGGGGGCGCCGGGGCTGGGCTCAGCCTCCCTCGCTCACCCCGTCTCTTCTCGCTTTCTCCCCTGCCGCCGCCGCTGCTGGGTTCCCCGCTGGGGTGCGAACACGGATCGCCCTGCAGAAGAAAAACAGGTAGGTGGGGCTTGGTCCTCCCCTCGGCCCGGAGCTGGCAGGAGCGACCCCGGCCGCATTGCTGCCCTGTGGTGTGGATGGGGGGCGATCTGCCGTGGGGTCCCCCCGGCCCAGCCCTCTGGCCGCCCATGCAGCGAGCGGGGGGCAGGGGCGCTACCTGTGCAGCCGGGGCTCGCTCGGCGTGTTTCTCCTTTGGATGCATCCCGGGCAATAGACCGTTAGCCCCGTGGGCCGGTACCCCTGGGCGTGCGGAGCGGGGAGCTCGGGATCGAAGCAGACATTGCAGTATTCGGAGCACGGCCCCCTGTCAAACCCCTTCCCTCCCCCCTGCACAATCCCTCCTCTCCCCCCCCCCCCCCGCTTGTTATTCTGGTTGATCCTCGCCTCAAGCTGCAGAAATGGGCACGCTGGGGACATCGGCTTTCGCTCTCTGGAGACGTGCGGGGATCGGGAGGGTGATGTAATCAGATAACATCAGCAGGTTTGGGGGTTCTCGGTTTGGTCTTTGGGAGGATTTAGGGTGGTTTTACAGGAAGAGGCATTTCCTCTCCACTAAGCTTGAATTCTTGGGTAGGGAGCGAGCAGCAGGGTCCTCCTGTGTGTGCTCAAACACCCACCATCATGACAACCTCTGAAGGGAGATGCAGGCAGGGCCTGCCTGCCTGCAGCTGGGCGGAGTGGATGGAGCTGTACTGTATTCCATGAGGACCGGGGTAGGCAGTAGGAGGAGACAGTTAACACATGGGGATGCTACTACAGATTCTGTCAACAGTAGTGCCCCTATTCCCACCCCTTCATCCTCTTGCCAGTTGCATTTTGGATGTTCCCTCTTGATTAGTCCTTCCTGTCCCAACAGGATTCTAATTCACTAGTCAGACCCGTACACCCTATAGCTTTCCGCCTATTGTGAGATCCTGTAACACTGTACAGCCTTGTGCTCCATAACAGTGCAACTTGTTTCACGGCAACCCAGGGGTTACCTAGTCATTGCAAAAAAACAATTAATTTTTTATGCAGCACAGTCAAGCACTGTTAAAAAGCTCTCGTGCATTTCTTGTAGTTGATGATAGTTTGAAATGGTGGGAGGGAAATAAAATAAATCCAGTGATAGTGTGGTGATTGAAGCTTGGTAAATGGGTTTTTTCCAAACCTGAAGTGTATCACCAACATTTTCCCCTTCAGAGTTATTTTGAGGCTTGTTCTCCCAAACCCTCCCCCCACCTCCAAATCTGGAAACATACAAGTTCTGCAAGTGTAGTAAAGCCAGATCAAGCTGTAAATTGGAAAGAGAATTGTGAATCGTAGCTTAGAGAAATCAAATATAAAAATGTGTGTAGTGTTTCTTTTTTTGTTTTGTTTTTTGTTTTTGTTAAAGGGAAACATTTTTGTATAACCCTCTTGTCTGCTCACTCCTGGTGAAAGAAGGAAGGCAGTGATGATGATTATTAATTTGTATGATTGTAGTGTGTAGACGCCCCTATCATGCTGCATAAAAATAGTGAGATAGAGTCCATGCTCCAGAGAGCTTACAGTCTAGACAAAGGGTGGGAAGGCAAGTAGGTATGGGGAAGTGAAGTGACTTGCCCAGCGTCACACAGGAGGTGAGTAGCATTAGAACCCAGGTTCCCTGACTCCAAGGCTAGTGTTCTATCTACTAGACCCCATCTTACATTTCAACATGTCACTCTGCAGCAGAGTGTGGTTTTCCACTGTTGAAAAGCTGGCCTGGCCTCATAAATACACAGATACTTGCATGTATCTCCCA